TCAGCTCACTGCAATCTCCACCTCCCGGGTTTGCGCCATTCTCCTGCCTCAGCCTCCCGAGTCGCAGGGACTACAGGCGCCCGCCACCTCGCCCGGCTATTTTTTGTATTTTTTAGTAGAGACGGGGTTTCACTGTGTTAGCCAGGATGGTCTCGATCTCCTGACCTCGTGATCCGCCCGTCTCGGCCTCCCAAAGTGCTGGGATTACAGGCTTGAGCCACCGCGCCCGGCCTTCTTAATCTGTTTTGTATTGCTATAACAGAATACCTGAAACTGGGTAATTTACAAAAAACTTTATTTGGCTCACAATTCTGGAGGCTGGATGGTAGCCCATTTGGTGAGGGTCTCGTGCTGCTTCAAATCACAGCAGAAAGAGGAAGGGAAAGCAAGCGCATGCAAAGGGGCCAAACATCAGAGGAAGCCTTGTCTTATAACAACTTGATCTCACGAGAACCAACCCAGTCCAAAAGAACTAACCCAGTCTGTATAAGCCATTCGAGAAGGCGGAGATGCCACAACCAAATACCTCTTAAAGGCCCCACCACCTTTTAATACTGTTAAATTGGCAATTAAATTTCACCATGAGTTTTGGTGGGAAGAAACCACATCCAACTCACTGCACCATATATATTTATTCTACTATTTTTATTTTTGCAAATATTCTGTAATTTTAAAGCAATTTCTAAAAATCAATTCAAAAATAAGTATGAGGAAGCCCACTAACGAAAATGCCAGCAGACTGAAGTGGTCACAAGAACCCGCCAGAAGAAAACAATAAGACTGGATAAAATATAACAAATAACTATTCAAAGGCACTGGAAAATATACACAACCAGCCAGAAGATGGGGAAGAGTTTACGCTAAAAAAAAATCGCAACAGAAAGGGGTAATAATTTTGTTTGTGGCTTTCTTGCCTGAGAGCGCTCCTAATACCTACAGAAACAAGAGGAGGGGAGGGGAGGAGAGAAGAGGGAAGGGAAGGGGAGAAGAGGGGAGAGGAAGGAAGGGGTGGGGGAAAGAAAAAAACAATAACTGAAATTTTAAAATTCATTAGACAGGTTTAGTAGTAAACAGAAAAAGAAAACAGATTAGTGAATCTGAAAATAAGTTAATTAGAAATTACCTATATCCAACCACCCCTCAAAAAAGAGAGGAAAAAGATTGAAGAAAAATGAACAGAAGCTTATGAGATACTATGAATCTTCAGAAACACATTTCCAGCAGTCCAACATACAGGTAAATTGGAGTCCTAGAATGAAAGGAAAGAGTAAAAGGGACAGGAAAAATATTGAAATAATAGCCAAGTATTTCTCACAGTGAGTAGAAAATATAACTTAGAGAGCCAAGAAGCTTCATAATGCTCAAGTAGTAGAAACACAAAGAAAACAACTCTTAGAAACATCACAGTCAAACTGTTAAAGGCTAAAGATAATAAGAAAATCTTGAAGACAGCCAGAAAAGATCAAAATAGAAAAGAACAATATAAAAATTACTCAACAAAAACTATAAAACTATGAAAGCCAGACGACACTGCAATGCTAGAGAAAAATATGTTAACCAGCGATTCTATCTCCAGTTAATTTTCGCAAACTGAAGAGGAAATAATCTTTTCAGATTAAAATGGAAAATCCAATGCCAGGTAACTGTACTAAATGTTAAAGGAAGTCCTTTAGGATGAAGGAAAATGGTATCAGGTGGCAACTTGTATCTACATTAAGGAGTGAAGAGTATAAGAAATGTGACAGATATAAAGCACACACACATATTTCTACATATATTTCACTTAATTTCTTTAAAAATACATATTACTATACGATGGCTTAAAAATTGTAACACTGGCCGGGCGCGGTGGCTCAAGCCTGTAATCCCAGCACTTTGGGAGGCCGAGACGGGCGGATCACGAGGTCAGGAGATCGAGACCATCCTGGCTAACATGGTGAAACCCCGTCTCTACTAAAAATACAAAAAACTAGCCGGGCGAGGTGGCGGGCGCCTGTAGTCCCAGCTACATGGGAGGCTGAGGCAGGAGAACGGCGTGAACCTGGGAGGCGGAGCTTGCAGTGAGCTGAGATCCGGCCACTGCACTCTAGCCTGGGTGACAAAGCGAGACTCCGTCTCAAAGAAAAAAAAAAAACAAAAAAAAATTGTAACACTGTAGTATTC